ATTTGTCAAAAAACCCAAAAACCTTCCAATGTTTTTTTGCTATATTACAATTTCTAACAAAACAAAACAAAACAAAAACAAAAACAAAAAAAAAACCCTAAAAGCCAAAAAAAAAAAAAATCAAAAACAAAACCACAAAGTCAAATAAAGGCTTGATCACAACACTTGAAAATATCAGTACCTTCATTAGGTTACACCTATGCTAGCAATGTCAAAATCTTACGTCGCCTGGCTCTCAACTTAATCAGAAAACTTGACCTCTGATCTTCAAGTCAAGGTCGGTGAGATTCAAACTTGACCAAGAGTTTTAGCAGAGGCACCTATGATATCAATTTGAAAATCCTAGGCGGCTTCCTCTAGTTATGGCATTCACAAAATGTTCAGAAAACTTGACCTCGTCCTTGGCCTTGAGGTCAAAGTCACTGAAGTCACTGGTAGGGGGATTTTAAGTCGATACACCTGCGGTATCTATGTACCTATGTCACCTCGCTCTCAAGCTGTCACATTCACAAACGTAGGCATCCAAACTGCCCGCCCAACCAGCATCATGACATCAACACCCCTGTTGACCTTTTACGGCTGAGGGGTAAAAACAAGTCCAGAGAACACACACTTCCAACAACAGGAGTTACAACTGGATGCACACTCACAGCCAGTATAATACTGCCATTTATGACCCCGGGGGGGATAAATAAATGAATAGCTCCCTCCCAAATGTGACATGGTCAAGGGGTTGGGAGAAAAAAAATGAAATTAAGGTGTCTCATCTCTGTAATTTAGGCTTGCAGCCATAATTCTAGTGTTCACACACAAACACCCTGTTACAACATGACCAAACCTGCAATCCTATCAAGACAGAACTCCCACTCACTCCAAGACTGGAGTGAGCACACCTACAGTTCACTATACTGGCCCATTTTATTTTTCACAACTGACAAATAGTCATTATTTGATATGAGTTTTAAGCACCAGATACACTGCTCAAAAACAAAGTACTGGTGACTGCCAGTGCTACCCCTCAGACCTAAGTAGACACTTATTGTATCAATTTGAAAATCCAAGGCAACTTTCTTGATTGCATTGACAAGATTTTCAGAAAAACCCTGACCTCTGACACTGGTTGTGTTGGTGGTAATGAAATTAACTGATGCACTGGATGAGCAACAATAAGGCTTCTTTTTTTTAAAGTAGTTTTTATATTTGGCTATGGTCAGTGTCACTACAGGTAGCATGACATGATAACTGGACTCTACAGAGGTCGCACGTGCAGTTCACCTTCACTGGGATGACATATCAATAATGTCCCCCCGCACAGCCTCAGCTTTAAGACTTTAAAAGTCTCTTATTGAAAGATTTCATTTTAGGTTTAGAAAACCAAACACAGCAACTATAAGCGACCTTTAAAAAGGGGGATAAAGAACCAGGCAACTTTAACGCCTCAACATTGAGGCACTAAAGCAGGTCAAACAGTTTATCACTGCATGTCAATCACGTTAAATGCGATTTGCTGCTGTCCTGCTGGTACATAAAGACAACAGTCTTATTGGTGAAAAAGAAATAAACTTCCATTTTTCCTTTGCTGTGTGAAATAGACTTACACAGTGCAGACTGGTCCCACCACCCACCAGTACTGGTAAAGTATTAAACACTTAACAAGAATCAACCAGAACATTAGATTCTATGATTCTGCTGTTTCTCCAGTGTTTGTTTCTATTAGCTCACTGACTTCTTCTTGTTATTAAAGTTAGGTTTGATTCATCGCTAAAAAAAAAATTAAAAATAATAAAGTCATTTCACTTCCTCTTAGGTCAATGAGGACAATCAGGCACTCGTGTATAATTTAGATGAATGCAGCGTCTTTGTTACATCACATGGCAATGACAACTACTTCTTAGCCAATGCTAACAAGATTCACACTGTTAGATGGAGCACATACGCTGGGCATTATGCAACTGCAAGATGGGTGCTGGTGGGCTAATTCATTTTAAACCAGTGTAGTAAAATATGATTGCAAAGCGACAACTGCAGTTGTGAGGCAGCTGGTGTTGTGGTAAAGGTCACACCTGGTTTAATCCTGAGAAAGATGGATCCTGAGAAGAGCTAACAGCCAAGCTTCTTTTCCTCTTCCCCACTGACGAGTCTAAACACTAGGGCAGACAGTAGAGGGGCAGGGGTCAAAATTACACAGCCTCCATCCACCTTCAGTTACAGTTAACATGAGTACAACAGGCAGTTCTGTTTGTACCCACATTGTTTTCTCCTTTTAACAACTAACACTGTCCTGTAGAGCTAGGATATGCACGGGCTTTTGTACATGCGATGCTGGATCTAAATAAGAAATACACTTTAAATAACCGTGCTACAGATTTGATCATTCTGGCCACCTGTCTAGAAGAAATCTTATTATGGTTTTCTTCTGTCAGGACAACCATGGAAAGATCAGATCAAAGTGTGTGTGTAGTATGGGACACATGGATGCTTCAGTATGATGTCTGACAAACACTTGGGGGAAATAGACAGCAAGTGCCATATCTCACAAAAGACCTGGGCACAAGCGGGGTTTCGGTAAACTGGTAGTGACGAGTGGTGAAGAGTATTTGATATTAACATAAAGCATGTAAAAAACAAAAAGCAAATTCATGGGTTAATGTCTTTTCTACAGTTAGGTTAGTATTGCCCAAACCAAAACCAAAAGTGGTTAATAAGTCACCTGTAAAGTCTGAAACCAACACCCAAGATTTCCTCTGATACCGTGCAACCTTACCAAAGATTTAAGGCTCTAGCAGAGGGACTAAGGTACTGTGTGGTTTGTGATTTGGTGATCTAAAAACAACAACAAACCCAAACAAACCCTAGCACATAAATACTATTTTTTTTAAAAATGTATTTTTTAAAATGGTCAACACTGCATAAATCTGCTATGAAATATGAAAGCTCTTATAACGGGCATGCAGTGTCATTTTAGCTCTTTAACAGGTGAGGTAGAAGCCAGCGACTGAGGACGTCCAGTGTTCTGTTACTGGCCTACACAAGCTTACTTGCATTAGTGAAGAGCAATATAGGTGCGATATTTACCCAGGGCATTCAAATAGCACAGCAAACAGAGCAAAGCTAAAAATGAATCTTTGACAAAATATACCCACCACACAGATAACGTGTTTTTACTGGACACTTTCCTTGCCACAAACCAGTACGCACCAGTAACACAGGCATAAATGGCTCATGTTGGGATTTTTGAGGCCATGACCAAGCAAAGGAAGCCTCGGTCTAACATTAGGTGTGCCTCATCAGTATTATACTTCACATGGCAAGGTCTGTACACGCATGCACAACACTATAGTAATTCAGCACAGCTCTGCTTTGTGAAGTGGACACAGATTAGATACGAAAAAGCATTAAACAAATCCATGACTATAGTTTGCACATTGAGTAGAATCTGTGACTAAATACCAAACTGTCCTGAATAATAACCTTTTTCTTTTGATGAAAATGTTTTGTCCTGTTGGGACTTGTTGTTTCCATAATGACAGCACTCTTCTTCACAGGGCCTGTGGGGTGGCTGCATATTAAGGAGTGGCCCAAAGCCTCACTTTCCTTAAAATTGTCAGGCCAGCTTCTTACTCTCATTTCTTTAGCAGTTATAACTCATCAGCATATTTCAATATTAGGAAGAAAAGCTTTACTTTTATCACTATTAAAACCCATCACCAAGTGCTCAGTTTCACCTTAATTTGACTAAAACTGCAAAGCAAACATAATACTCATAATTTTGATTTACAGCAGCTTTTAACTTCTTCTAAGCAGTGCAGAAAAAAAATGAGCAAGACAGGGACAACGTGACGGTAATTCAAACTCTTAACAGTTAAATGTTGGTAATACTGATAATATTAATAAGTATACACGAGGGTGGGACCCAAGATGCACGTTTCTCAACTTCCAGGTGAGTCACTCAAGTGACTTTCAATGATTATGAAAAATACTGTTGACTAACATCCGATCTGGTACTAAATGTATCAGAAGCCTGTAACGTCCACAACTGAACAGCTGTCAATTCAAAGCACAGCAAATTGTTTCCAGTGTGGACACAGCTTTAGCACCACCTCACTGTGATCTGTATGTGCTCTACACCACTTGTGTCACACACCAGGCTGCCGGCCTAATCTGCCACGAGAGATTCAATACAAATATACATAAAGTGACAATAAACTACATATCCCAAAACACAAGCCGTCCCATGAAGAGACAGCAAACTGCCACTAGATTAAAGTGTTCCTACGACACCACTGGGTTTAGTGACCATCTCAGAATTTCCAGAAAAAGGAGAATCGATGCAGAAGGAAGGCTGTTTAATGAGAAACAGGAAAATGAATATTTGTTATTTAAGAAGAAAAACCAAAACAGCTTGTGCTGTGAGCGTGTCGGTGGTGAGGGAGGTCTATATACATTGTATTCCTTCACATGTATTTAAAAAAGAAAAAACATCAGTCCATTTATCATTTTAGTCTCCAACAAAAACAAAACGTGGTTCAAGAATTAAAGGCAGACTGCAACCTCAGCAGAATGTGTTCATCAAAGCTGCAGCCCAGAGGGACACCAACAGTAGCTTTACTGTGGCTACTGCCCATGCTTCAAAGAGTTTCTCAGACTGTTTTTGAAGTGGTGCATGCCAAGGGTTTGTGACCAGGGATCCACCAACCAGATAAGACTTCGTAAAAAAATAATGAAAAATCAATTTGTCAAAAAACAAAACACCATAGCAGAGTGAGTGAGGGGATTTACAGGCAATCTTACATCCGTCACAGAGGGGGGTATCTGGCTTTTTCATTAGCTGTTGATAAAAGCACAGACAACACTGACACAGTGCAGTTAGCAATTTTTATACGGGGCGTGAAGGCTGACGTCTGTCCCGAGGAGCTCTTTCATGTAGCTTCAATGCATGGGACGACGACAGGGAGGGACCGATGTGGTGGAAAAGGCTGCTTGGTAGGATTAACATAGGACAAAAATGGGGGGGGGGGATGCCACAAACCTCTGATAACATTACTTCATCATCCATCAAGAAGCTTTGTGTGGATTGTGTGTATGGAGACATGTCATACCATCCACAGAAGCTGAGCAGGAACGTAGTTCTCAAACTATTTAAGCTCAGGAGAGATTTTTTCATGAGAAAAAAAAAAGCAAAAACAAAAAACAAACAGAATTTGTGTTTGCCTGTGGTCAGCATCTCACCTGGATGGAATTATTAACTCCTTTTAACTCAAATCTTCTAATAGTTTCATTTAACTGAAATTTAATGGCGGTGTTTGCATCTTGTGTTCTTTTTAGAACACGCCCTATGGGTGGACACGCCCTATGGGTGGACACGCCCTATGGGTGGACACGCCCTATGGGTGGACACGGTTGTGTAATATGGGGTCTTGTGGCAACAATAAAGCTACATGATGTGTTAATTACACACCATCGATCCAACTTCACCAATCTCGTTGGTAGAACTGAAACAAATTTGTTCTTTTAAAAAAAATTATACACTTTTCTGTATGTGCAGTTATGTATTCAGTGTGCTTGCAGAGGCCCCCCCTCTGCTTTTGTTTAACTACATCATTAGCTGGGGGTAGCTTATGCTGACAATGTGAAGACTGTTCAGCCATTTGTTTCTCTAAAATACAAATCTGTCCCACATTCTCAGCAGCTGCTCATCACCCACTGTGACAAAGCTCGTCCTGGACAAAGTTCACATGGTAAGTTATGAAGAGGTTATTTTTGCTGCTGTAGTGTGGCTTTATTAAACTTATAACTTTAAAAGTTGTTAATTAAAGCAACGTGTCAACCAATGTTGCTGCATTTATGCAAATGTTTGAATTATTTGTAACCTAATATCAAAAATCAGATACAGAGACAGTTTAACAGTTCAATTACATTTATCCAGTTACAAATGGTCCTTTGAGGGAAACCATGATGCTGATGAAAATGAGTTCCCCGGCTCTACACCACTCATCACCTCACTCAGGCATGGTGACATGCAGACTTGAATTTGGAAACAGAGAGACTATGAAAGGAACTAACATTAAGTGGCCCAAAATGCATTAGATACTAACACTACCACAAAACAAGGTCACAAACTCAACCAAGTAAATGAAAGTTACAACTATACTTCCAAGCTCTGTTATTTTTAAGGGATTCCTGTGAGAAACTGGGGTTTAATATGAAAGCATTTAAGCAACACTACCACAGTGAAGCATCATTAACTGGTAGATAAGGACATCTGGGAAAACAGACCGGTATGTCCAGTAAACACAACAATAACTTCAGGAAGTAGACTCAGAATTGATTCCCACCAATCACACAGCTCCTTCAGCATGCTGACATTCAGTCCATGTTCATGTTGGACTTTACAGGTGTTATGGTCATGTTACAGGTGTTCAACATTTTGCGACTGCATCTTGCACAGTTGCAATAAGCTCATGTTGACACCACTAAACGGTGTTAGGTCCCCATCTGGACCTATCATTGGCAACAGTAACCCTGGTTCTGCACTGCAGTTTCGGAGAGTGTAGTTACAAAATTAACCAGATGTCCACCAACTGTATGTTAATGTTAATATCAGTCCTCCCGCTGACAGCAGATCCAGAGCAAAACAACGATTACTACAGAGAAACAAAACGGATGCGAGCAGGGCTGGCTGGTTAGTAGCGATTTTCAAAATAAGAGCTTTATTTACTTATGTTCATGGATGATAATGTTGGGATCAACGATGGTTCAAGGTTAATGGCAATAGCTTTTATAAAGAGGTGTCAAATTTGTATCCAATGTTTCCCACAGATGCATTAAATACCAGCATTTAGAGATTCAAGCCCATTTAAATCTACCTTCAACCAATATTCCCAACATGGGGACGGGAACTCATGAACATGTTCACAAATGCAGACTTACACATGCTAAGTCTAATTTGCGTGTGTTGGGAGAATTTTTCAGCCCTCATAATCCTAATCCATAATCCTCTTAATCCTAATAAGAGAAAACAGGAGGACTGACGTTTAAATGAGAAATTCTTCAAGCTGGAAATGGGAAATAAGGCATTGTTCCCTCTTGTAAAATACAATTCATACTTGTGCCCAAGGCACCAAACCCTGCCGTTCAATAAAACAGGTTACCATGTCCCTTTCCATTTCTAGTAGACCAAAAAAAAAAAAAAGTTGCTAATATTTATAGTAATAGTCACACCTGATCTGCAGTCTTCCAAAACCAAAACAGAAAAGGACAAAGGTTTCTCCATTTTAGAGACTCAAGAAGTTTAACTGCATTCAGGCAAAAACCGTTAAAGTGTTCCAACAGTGTTGTACCTGCTGGATGAGACTGTGTGTTCAGGTATACGTGGTTGTGTGTGCAAAGCCCTTAAAGATTTTGTGCTCTATAAATAAAACTACAATGAAAAAGAACATGTGATGGCTGCAGTGAAGAAAAGTGAGCAGATTCTGAAGTTGTCCCTGAGCTTTGCTGCTGAAAACAGCCTCTCTGCCGGTGTCGATGGTAATAATTCAGTTACCAAACAGCTGCAGGTGACTGGCTCAGAGTTCTACTCATGTACATTTATAACTGGCCTGCAAAAATTTTTTTTTTATATATATATTATTACAAATTAATATTTTATATTATTTTACATTTAATTAAAAATATTTTATTAAAGGCTTGAAATCAATATGGTCTTGTGAAAATCCTCACTGTTTAAACTGCCCCCTGCTTGGTGCAGGTTTCACTGCAACAGAAAGTGGGTCGGCTCTCTTCAGCTTAAACTCCGTATCCGACCAATATGCACATTTTAATGTAGCGTCTGGCTTTTGGTCGCTGCAGATGTGAGCAGCTACAAAGTTCAGTTTTGTTTTTGTCTCCCAGCGTCTTGAGCAGGTGGCTTAATGAGTGACTTTGAGCTTTTTCCCTGGATGGGATTCACTGTGATTACAGGAACAAGTGCTGCTGTTTCCTTCACCTACGCTCAGCGTCTTCTGCCTCTTTGCTCGAGTGCAATAATTTATTAATTTTGACTTCCCTGTGAAATCTATTACTCTACACTGTAAGTAGACAGACTGCGGCTCCACGTTAAAATATGAAATCATCTTCACTGCTGCTGGTATCAGCAGTCTGTTCTTTAAAAACTTGGGGCTGCATTGTTTTAACGTCATTCATGTTTTTTACATTCACAAGCACACTCCTAGACACACCACAGTTCTATCACAGATCTGTTTTAGTGAAAGGTTCGTGTTTCCATGGTGCCGACTGGAGTCATTACACAAAGCATCAAAGCAGAAAATCAAAAACGTTTGTGTTGATGACGTCACCATCAGGAGATTACTAAAGCTAAACATTTACTACCAGAGGTGTCTATTAGGAAGCAGGACTTCAGCTTATCCAGATGACAACAGGGTTAGTCCTGGTTTTCTGTCGTACAAAAGGTGATTGACTACTTACAGAGGTGTAACTTATGCTATAGATGTTCCAGATCAGACATCAACAGGTATGAAATCACTGATTCTCCAGAATACAGCATCACCACTCCTGTAACCTCTGCATGGAGAGTTGGAGGGTGCTTCCCTGATGAGTATCAGTAATAGATCTAAGATGCAACTTTAATCCTGTGTTTTTCCCCCCTGTTGGCAGCAAACATAACACTTTGGCTGTTCGTTTACCATTAATTCATGATCCTAAAACAGGACACTTCCTGTTTGAATTCTGTTCTTAAACTATACTCTCAATCCCTTTAAAGACAACGGGGACAGAAGTGTCCAAAGCAGGTTATGTTTTCACTGTTTCTTTTATTCACAGCATGTTTTAAGAGCAATATGGATTCTATGCTGGGGGCATACATATGCTACTTATTGAACTGTACCTAACCTCACTGAGTGAAGCACACACTCTGTTGCACTGTCACAGAAATGTGCACGTACTAATTTGTTGATTTAGAAAAAGCATAAAATGTTCCTATATTTCTCTTTTACACTGCTGTAACTGCAGCTACTAGAACACACACCAAGAACACAAATTCATTTAACTTTGATCTGCCGACAAATTAAAGTCATTCCCCTTCTTCCACTTGATGTGGAAGAAAAGTCATGTAACCCATGAAAAAGCCCCTTTTAGATGAATTCGATGCTGCCAACACCGCCCCTCTCATGTGAACTGCAGGTGAAACCCTGGATTAACTCAGCAAGTTGATTAACCAACTTCATGTGACCGTATAGTCTAGTCGTCAGTGATTCCATAGAACTGAAAGACGTATGTTGAAACTGCTTCATAATATCTGGCCCCTGTCATATCACTATCCTCCAACAGGTCTATACAGTCCTTGAATATGACATACTTATGTACTGGTCCTGCATATCTTACCTTGTTACAGTGACGGCCGATGCCCATGAGAAAGTTATCTGGTTTGATGTCTCTGTGGATGAAGTTCTTTGTGTGTACATACTCGATTCTGCTGATCATCTGAAGATATAAAAATGTGTTTTAAATGTGACCAAATGACTACAATGGACAAAAGTTTCCAGATTATATATGAAGGCAGGATACAGATAATAAACCTTTGCCTAGTTCCCTTTTTTAAAAGCCTGCAGAGAAGTGGGTGTGTGTGTGAGCTGGATACCTGGTCTGCCAGCATAAGGACAGTTTTCATGGTGAAGCGGCGAGAACAGAAGTTAAACAGGTCCTCCAGACTGGGTCCAAGCAGGTCCATAACTAGGACGTTGTAGTCCTTCTCTTGGCCATACCACCTGATGACAACAGTAACATAGAAAAGTGGGTTTTCACGGTTGATCTCAGTCACAATGCATTCTCTAAACCAACTTCACAGGCTGAATATACAGCGGTGCCTTGTTTATCCCAGGAGTTACGTTCTAGAAATAACCTGCGATAAGTGAAATCCGCAAAGTAGCCAACTTTATTTTTTACAATTATTAAAGATGTTTTAAGGCTGTAAAACCCTCACTACACACTTTATACTCTTTTCTCAGACAGGCAGGAACATTTTCACACTTTTCTCTTGTTTAAACTCTCAAAGTTCAAACCTTCATAGAAAAACAAGTCCAAAGGAACCTGCAGGTGACAACGTTTTGTCGACACTGTTGTTTGTTGGGGAGAAAACGTACAAACATGCAGTGCAGCACTTCAGAGTCACGCTGCTAGCGATTGAAGATTTATGTAAATGTGACAAGCTGAACGCATCTGTACTGTACAGGAGAGACAGCACGGGATTGACTGACAATGGTCTACAGCCAATCAGGATGCAGAACACAATACACTGTTTAAAACAAACAAAAAACAAACAAACCAAAAAACATGCAAAATTGCACAAAAATAAAATCCGAAGCAGTGAAAGGTGAACCGCGTTATAGCGAGGGACCACTGCAGACCCAAAGCAGGTTGGCCTCTTATAAAAGGCTCGTTTTACTTGTGTCATTTTACGTGTCCCTTGTGCATAATAAATGAGTCGTATAAGAACAAAAGGTTACAAGTCACTTTGAAATAATACTAATGTGTTTTTGAGGTACAAACATGAGACATTAAAATGTCCTGTAAAATTAAGCCCACACTGTTCCACGGAAGCCCATCAAATGGCGTTCTCTCTTAACACCAATGACATCATTGCTTAGTGGGGTTCTGGTTTAATTTAGTTGTTCCGACTGACATCCTGATGTGTCAGGAAACAAGAAAACATAAGTTATTGTGACGCAGCAGAGGTTGAACATTTAACCTTTTAAAATTGTTTTAAGACCGTCTCATTTTTTCCTCCCCACTCTAAAACACTACTGTGATGTGGAGTCATGTGACTCTGGAAAAAACATTGAACACAATCTGTTCACTAAAGCCAACTCTGTGTCTAGAAACATGGAAAGGAACAAACCAACCACGGTTCTTTGTATATTTATATTTTCAAAACTAATGACTGAAAATTAGTCTTTTGATTTTGTTTTTTCATAGAATATTTTGTTAGTAAATAAATATCTGTAACAAACGCCCCTTTGCTTTGCATTGATGTGCTTTCATACCTGTCTAAAAGCTCAATTTCACTCTTTACAACTTGAACCGAGATTACTTATACAGGGATTATACTTCCCACGTCCACGGGTGCTCAGGTCCCAGTCGCCTCATCGTTTAGTTAACACTGTAACTGTTAATTTTATTAAAAGGCAAAAGAATGAAATCGCAGATAGAATTGCTGAAACATAACACCTGTTCTTAAACAGCTCCCATGGCTTCCAGTTCAGTATCAATTTCAAGATCTTGTTTATCACTTTCAAAGTCCTTTATAACCCGGCTCGCCTGTCTTTATCAAATGTTCTCCATACGTACTCAGAGTACACTCTGCTCGTCTTCAGCTTCCCCTCTGTCTGCTCACCTGACTACCACGGGACTCAGAGCCTTTAGTTGTTCTGTCCCAAGACTTTGGAATGCACTTACACCAGATCTCCAGACCAAACTGTACTTTTAAACCACGTCTTTAAAGGCTCCGATAATAACTGTATAAAATGTAATAATAACAACAACAAGCACTCAAAGTATTATATGACATGCCTTAGTCACCCATTCAGACAAGCACTTTGTTTCTACACCTAAGTGCTTTCTCACATTCACACCCCAACAGTTGCATTGGAGAGGAACTTGGGGTTATAGTATCTTGCCCAAGGGTACTTTGACATCCAAACTGGAGCAGTCAGGGATCAAAGCACCACCTTTCAATTAGTAGATGACCTGCTCCACCTCCTAAGCTACAGCTACCTTATTGAAGAGGTGAGGCCCAACACGACAAACAAAGAGGGATCAAATGTGTATGCCAACAAGCGTAGAAAGATGAATTGAATGGACGTACAGACTAGGGCTGCCACGATTACGTCAACTAT